TCTGAGAGACCCACCTGGCTGTCAGATGGCAGCTACAGGCCCTGGCATGGAGAAAACCATGAGACTATCTGTGCTGACATCAAGGGGCTCCCCCACTGTCCTCAGGGCTCTTAGTGCACGGTGAGACATGACAGTTCTGGGCCAGGCAAACCCGCTGTGAACAGGGATGACAGGGACACGTTCTCCACGTTCTCCCTGCCGCACATCTGCCTAGGGCAGATGGGGCATAGAAGGGTGAGCAGCTGTGGTCAGAGTGCCCTGATCCTCGCCATGAAAGGGTGGGTTGGTGTGTGACAACGTGCACAGCAAATGTCACCAACTGTCCCGGGAGTGTGGCTTCCACAGACACCAGACTGGATAAGCCACGAGTGCCCTGGGAGATGGCTCTGTGTCATCACCGGGGCACAGTGTTCTTTGTAAACTGTTCTCACCTTCCCAAAGTCCCCAGGACCTGGTGACAGTGAGGGTCAACTTCCAAGGCCTGTTATCCTTACCCAATGTGCCCAGCTGGCCAGGGATACTCAGGGAAATGGCTGAGAGCCAGTTCTCAGATGATTTTGGCCCTAAGGTGATATCTAGACATCTTCTTGGGTGTCCACCGGCCCCTAGTGGACAGAAGCCAGACATTGCTAGCTTTACCCCCACACACACAGGACAGAGGGTCACTGACTCCCCCAACACACCCAGAAGCTGAGGAGCTAGCCTGTACTCAAAAATGTTAAAGCAGAGACAGGGTCAGGGTGGCGGGGGACTACAGTCACAAGCCTAGAAATGCTTTAGGCATCTTGAGAAGCTGAGCAAACCTCGATCACTTGGAGATGGTTATGAGCAGAGCTTTGGGTTCCAGAAACTTCCAGCACAGCGTGCCGTGAGGTGGGAGAGCAGTCTACCGTGCTGCCTGCCAGCTGGGAGGATGAGTTGGCTTGTGAGGCTGTAGAGAGTAGGCCAACTTCTCTGAGCCTCAAAGGTCATGACTCCTAGACTCGGAAGGTGCCAAGGCTGTGCCGTGGATCATACAGGACAGAGGCATGAGCTCGGGGCCAGGCCACTCCCCTGACACCTGTGAGCTTCTCCCTAAGGGGTCCTCCAAGGACAGTAGATTTCAAAGCTGCGCCCAGATGAGCTGTAAAGAACTCAGTGACTCACAGAGAGCCGCTGACAGGATTAGAGGACAGGCCAGTGTAAGATGCAGAAGATGGGTCAGGAGAGAAAACGAAGGGGGCTCTGATGTGTGCTGCCCTGGCCCTGGGGCCAGGTGACAGGAGGTAAAGACACTGTTCAAAAGCTGGCTCCCCAGTGTGGAGAGGTGCCTCTTCAGAAAGAAGTCCTTCCTCAACTCCAGACGCCAGCTCACTGAGGCAGATGCACTAGGGAGGGTGATTCCTTTTAACCCTCTAGGAGACACTGATGTGGGGCTGGAGACACTAAACTGTAAGCCATGGTTAACCCAGCCTGCTTCCTGCCTGTCCCTAGCTGCCACTCTCCGACATGGCCTCACCTGTCTCTTCTCACCCTCTCCTTCCTCCTTTTGTCTGGGATGTTCAGTCCCATGGAGCCCAGGTGAGCCTCAAACTCTGTTAACTCCTGATTCTCCTGCCTCCACCTTCCATGCACCTGGATCGAAGGCCTGCGCCACCATGCCAGGTACCAGAAAGGACTATACCCTCCGGCCATGCTGCCACCATCTTTAGGATGTGCCCGCTCCCTTGAGGCTTGTAGACTGTCACGCTCCCTCTTGGAAGAAGGGAGTGGAGACGGTCGTGTGACTCTCACACGAGGAGTATCCAGACACCCCTCCCAGCCAGATGAAAGCAACTCTGCCCTGGTCTCAAGGCCTCTGGGGACAAACAGAGGACACAGGTGGAGAAGGCTTGAGGAAGGGGACTTCCCCCCACAGCCATGGGGCATCATCGGGGTGTCCTCATCCACACTGGGTACAGACCTATTATGGCTGCTTTGAGATTGCCCATGCTGCTGATAACCCCTAACCCATGTTTAGTAAGCAGGGCCTGATAAATTCTGTCTCCCTAGCGTGTGCCTGGTGAAATCACACCTTGCTTTGTCATTGAGACCATGGGGGGATCGGTCCAGTCTCCCGAGGACATTTAACAACACCCGGCTAGTGTCTGTCCCAGCTTTTTAAAAATATTTTTAAAGACTCATTTTATTTTATGAATATGAATGAGAGGTATTTTGTTTACAATTATGTCTACGTGGCAGACTACGTCCATGCCTTCTGCCCTCAGAGGTCAGAAGAGGACACTGGACTCTCTGGAACTGGGGTTATGGACAGTTACGAACAGTTGTGAGCTACCATGTGTGTGCTGGGACTAGAACCCAGGAAGAACAAGTGTTCTTAACCACTGAGCCACCTTGCCTTGCCTTGACAGGTTTCTCTGTGTACAGCCCTGGTTGTCCTGGAGCAGGCTGGCTTCAAACTCAGAGGTCTCCTCAGTGCTGGGATTAAAGACTCACACTGCCACACCCAGCTCTTCCTTGCCTCTTAATGGTCCTGAAATTTAAGTACACTTGAAACAATTACTGGTGTAAAAAAATTATTTTGTCTCCTGGGCGGTGACACACACCTTTAATCCCAGCACTTGGGAGGCAGAGGCAGGTGGATTTCTGAGTTCGAGGCCAGCCTGGTCTACGGAGTGAATTCCAGGACAGCCAGGGCTACACAGAGAAACCCTGTCTCGAAAAACCTAAATAAATAAATAAATAAATAAATATGCCTAGCTTTTTACGTGCCTTAGCCTTGTCAGTACAGCTGAAACACAGCTGCCTCGCCTCTCCCGTGCATAAGCCCTTTCATTAATCTCTCGCACACATCAACAACCCTGCTGGGGCTGGAGAGCCCTTCTCACTCTCTGGGCACTCATCTGGCTGGTGGATGGATCAGAGCCAGTGCAGGTGACCAGCTGCACCCACAGGGACGACTCTGAGAACAGGGACATCTCCCTCCTCCTCTGAGACCCCTGTATGGTCCTCCCCTTCCCCTGACGCCTCTGTTCTCCCCTTCCTAGCCACCTGCTACAGTATTAAGTGTTCCTTCTCCAAAACTACCAGCAGCCCCCCACTGCCCAAACACCCCGGAAACACCTTCCCTCGGGACATGGTGTCCTCCATAAACTACCGGTGCATTCCAGAATAGAACCAATCTCGGAGTACCTTCCTCTGGCGGTGACTGGAACGCAGGCCACGTGACCTTACCACAGCCTGCTCGAGACACCAGTGCTGAGCTCAAGGAGGCCCCGCCCTCTCCACCTCACACCTGAGTGTCCTCCCATGTGAACTGGTCCTGTGACCGAAAGAATAGAGGAGATGACAGTGACTTCCGAGACCAGGCTATGAGAGAGCCAGGCTTCTCCTCGGTGCACTCATTCTGGGGTGTTTGCGTTCAGAGCCTAACCACTGTGCTGCAAGCTCTCCACGTATACACCAAGGTGCACACATGTGCACATGCACAGACAGACAGACAGACAGACACACGGAAAAGTAAATAAATGTAACTTAAAAGTGAAAAGGGGCTAGATGATGTGGCGCACGCCTTTAATCCCAGCACTCTAGAGGCAGAGGCCGGCAGATCTCTGAACTTGGGGCCATCCTGGTCTACAAGTAAGTTCCAGGACAGCCAGGGCTGCACAGGGTCAAAAGAGAAGGGGTCTGGTGGTGTTGAGGTCACGAGTTTGAAAACTACTATTTGGCATGGTGACTCCAGAGCCCAGCACCCTTGCTGCCTCAGCCCTCGGGATGCCGACTGAAGCTGAACCCGCCAACCATCACACCCTGAGCCCCCGCCGGCTTCCCCATATCGGAAACCGTATCTTATGCCCGTCTTCTCTCCCCAGCCGGGGTCCTCACCCCTGGAAGAGGAATGGCGACCAAGCACTAAGTCAGCTTAAGGCAGCGACAGCCCCGAATTCTTGAGGCTTGCACAGAAGCATGAGATGAAGCCCCTCAAGCCGGCAGCAGTGGGAAGCCTCATGCTGAGCCACTGCCATTGGGGCTGTGCACGTGACCAGTGAGTGTGGCCCTGCAGCTCTCCCGGCCTGGGAGACTTCCTCCTCGTCCTGGTTAGGACCTCCAGAAGCCTCTGCGCACGTCTTCCTCCTTCACACTCCCTTCAGAGGGAAAGGGGTTAGATGTGGGTCTGAGAACTGCAGGGGCTCTTGCCCCAGACCTTCCAGAAGGATCTAAAAACAACCTGATCCTCGTGACAGGCAGCCAGACCCAGGCTGGTCACCCTGTTTGGCAACAGGAAAATCTGCAGGCTGTAAAACTCGGAGAAAGGGAAGTGGATCCCACAAACAGCTCCTGGACCCCTGAACATCAGAGATTAAAACAGGACCAGGTTTCCCCTGCCCCCAGCAGGGACCCACCATAACCCTGCCTGCCAAGCCATCAAGACAATGACCATCAAACTCCCTGGTGTGCCCCTTCTGAGAGTTTCTAGAACCTGCCAGGCATCCTGTGAACAGGGAAACAGTGTGGGAAGCCCAAGGCATTGTTAGATTCTGCTGAGGGCTGGACACCCAGCAGAGAAGGAAGAGCCCTGTTACTGCCCCACAGACCTGGGGGCGAGGATTAAAAGTCTCTATCATGTCCCCAGAGCCTGGCGTATGTTTCCCTAAGCAACTGTGATGGCACACACCTCCAATTCCACCACCTGGGAGACAGAAGGAAGGTGAGTTGGAGTTCTGGAACAGCCTGGTTATGTATCCCACATGAGCATAAAAGGAGTGTTCATTTAGTGACTCAACAAACACTGGCTACCCTCTGTAGCAGGCAGCCCCTCAGACTCAAGAGAAAGTCTGTGTTCTTGTGGGTATAAAGGTGAGAATCTCCACACTCCTAAGCCGGGTACATTTGATGAACAGTCATCTTGGCAAGCGACAGGCGCAGACACGGCACTGGTGATCAGGGACTCAGCCTGGTGACTCCTGCGGAGCCTGTGGCAGTCAGCCGGCCGGACACCCGAGTCAGTGAATCGGGCTTACCTTTACTGTGGGTTTGTCTTCATCTGTCAGTGAGCAGCAGCCGCCGAGTGAGTCCCACACGCATACCCGCACCGCTGCACAGTGCTGCAAAGGTGTGAAGGAACCGATGTCAGTAACTGAGTGGTGCAGGTGTCCGAGAAAAGAGCTTAGCAAGGTCTAACTGAACACCAGGACTCAAGAACCAGTGGTCCCATATGACTTCACACACACACACACACACACACACACACCCTGGGAGGCTGCCGATCTCAGCCTGAGTCAGCAAATATTTCCCAATCCTGGAAGGACTCTCCATTGCCAAGCAAGCAGACACTGGCTCGTCGGATCTTACCTGGGTGGGGCAGAAGGAGCTGGCAAAGTAAAAAAGAGGTGGTGCCTAGCACCCCACTGGCTCATAGAAGGAGAGGCCCCTGAGTCACACCCCAGTCACCAGCCCCAAGTTATGAAGGCCATGGGAGAAGACCTGCATGCCTGAAACCCGATGCTGAAGGCCCGTATGCCTGCCAGGCTCCAGCCAAGTACCCAGCTCTCCTGTGACACCCTGGAATCCAGCTGCTAGGGCAAGCCACTCCTCCACTGGCTCTGATGACACACAAACATGCTCGGAGACATCAAACCATCTCCAAGAAACAGCCACAGGGCAATCTGGGACGACATGGCACAGACAAGGGCACTGGGCACAAGGCTTCGGACATAACACAAGCCAGGGCCTGGCAGTACAAACAAGCTTGTGTGATTGCTGGCAAGGGAGGCATGCTCCCAATGTGGACAGTGCCATGAGGCATCACCAGACCCGCCAGAGCTACTAGAGGGGGTACTGGAGTGCACCGGCTCCACCAACCCCCAACATGCAGAGAGTAGCACTCTGGGTAGGTGAACCTCAGGACAGGACTCAGCCAGGAGTCCAACACATCTCCTGAAGAGACAAGACTCCTTATACCAGGATCTGCCAGGCTCAAACCCTGGGGACAGCTTGCACAATAGCTGGGCAGCTGTGTCCTGTCCAAAATAGAGGCCTCCCCGCTCCCAGGCTAGTCTCCATCCTGACTATCCTACCAGGCCTGCAGGAAAGACAGTAAGGGACCACAAGTGGGGCTAGGAGGACACAGGACAACTGCTTTTCCTGGGTGGCTTGAAGCACACGGCATAGAAAAGTTCCCAAACAGAGCAGTCCAGTGAACTATGGAGATGATAGGAGGTGCCACTGGCAAGGGCCTGTCCGCTCGCACCGTGATTCAAGCCACAATGTGCAAAAAGCACCAAATGGAAAACTATTCCCTAGAAGGCTGCGGAGTGGATAACCTAGGAGGTTATCTAGCCAGCGTTGCTAGGACTTACAAGGTTCTACCAGGACTGGCTCCCCGCCCTGTACTGGAGGCTCCTATGTGCCAACTCAGCAAGGAGCACTGTAATTGGTTAAGCAAAGACAGGAAAATAATGGACTGCTCAAGGGTGGTAGGTAGGGGGCTGAAGAGGTGGCTCAGGTTAGGAGTGCTTGTTATTCTTTCAGAGGATCCAGGTTCGAGTTCCCGCACCCACATGTAGTTCCCAGTTGGAACTGGAGATCCAAAACTGTAAGATCTTTGGACCTCTGGAAGCACTGAGTACACATGGTACACAGGCGGTGCCGCATAGACATAGATGCAAGCGAAACACTCACACGTAAAATAAAATGAATATTAAATAAATCCAATTTAAAGAAAAAACTGTCAGGCAGAGTCTCTGGGGAGTCAGAGACTGGACTAGTCATTACCAAGAACTCGACTGCACACCTCAATAATGCCCCGGGTGGGGTGGTATATCCCAGCAACCCCAGGACTCAGAAGACAGAACAGGAAGACCGCCATCAGTGAGGAGGCTATCGTAGTGCCTTCAAGGCCAGCCTGGGTTACAGAGTCATACTATCTGTCTCAGATTTTAAACGGGAGGGATAAGATGGCTCAGCGGGGAACAGCACTTGCCAACCAGGCTGATGACCTAAGTTCAATCCCGGGGACCCATACACCAGAAGGAGAGAATCCACTCCCAAAACTTGTTCTACACGGTCACACAAATAAATAATAAATGTAAAAGGTATTTCTTTAAAAAAAACTTGAGCCGGGCAGCGGTGGTGCACGCCTTTAATCCCGGCACTTGAGAGGCAGAGGCAGGCGGATTTCTCAATTCGAGGCTAGCCTGGTCTATAGAGTGAGTTCCAGGACAGCCAGGGATATACAGAGAAACCCTGTCTCAAAAAACCAAAACCAAAACGAAAACAAAACAAAAACTTGAGGGATGTTTTCACATAAGAACATTCCTTCTAACCTCCTCCACTCTCCCACACCCCCACACCCGATGCTATATAGAGGGAGGGGCCTTAGGGATGAGAGAAGAGGAGACTAGCTCAACCCCAGGGCAGCCACACTCTTACTGTTTGCATGGAAAAGGGTCAGTGCACATGAAGATTACAAAACTGTAAGGTCTGGTCAAGCTGGTTCAGTTGGCTCCCTGCTATGGCTCCAGAAGGTGGCTTATTCTATGGCCAATTCTGGCTCAAAGACAGAGAGAGTGCACTCTTCAGAAGAGACCTAGAAACTTGGTACCAACAGAACCATGGGCTCCCGCTTCTGAAGTAGAAGAGGGGTCAGACTTCCAGAGTCTTCAAAGATCAGGTGAGCTAAAGACGGGTGTATGTTCTCTCCTGAGGATGCCTCCAGGGGTCCACGGCCAAAGAAAGAGGACCAACCCTGAGCGCAGCTGAGCTGTTGATCCATGTGCCTGGAAGCAGACAGCCCGAGTTCCTTTGCAAAGCCTCCCTGCTGCAATCCCTCAGCCTGCCCAGGCAGATACCAAGCAATACCCCAGACCACACCTGGGCAGAGAGAAAAACATCAGCTGCCTCTCCCAGTCACAGTAAATACAGCTGCCCAGGAAAAGGACAGGAAAAAAGGCACCAAGGACCCACGTCCGGGGACCAACACGAAAGGCACATTCCGTCAGTGAAAGACAGGAGATAAACTCAGTCGCTGGTCCAAGACATCAAGATTAAGGGAACAGAATCCCAACACCCCCAGAGATAGCAGGCCCACAATCCATTTACAAACTCAAACGGGGACATATTCTGGGGCTGGTCAAGTGGCTCAGTGGGCAAAGGTGCCTTCGTCAAGCCTTAATGACCTGAGTCTATTTCCAGGGCCCACAAAAATCAAATGAGAGAGCCAACTCCTAACTCCAGTAAGCTGTCCTCTGACCTACACACACCTGCACCCCACCCCACATCCACGCCTCACAGAAGTAAATAAATGTAACTTTTAAACAAAAAAAGGCATTCTGGAGTCAGTACAGGGAAGGAAAAAACCAAGTTAAAAACCATGGACATCCCTGGGCATAGCTTCTGGAGACTCCTCTTAGCTCTATGGGATAGGGTAGCGTGTGGAAGGGAGGCAATGAAGGCACAGACAGCTTTAAGTATCATGGTTTAAATACATTCCATAATATCCCAAATGAATCCTGTTTCCTGGAAGGGGAAAAGAGTTAGATGAGGCCTCCGGCTACCGCTGGCACACACCCAACTCAGAGCCGTCTCTCCCCAAGGGTTCCTGGAAGTCAACAGACTTATAAAGGGGAAGTATTGTAAAGCTGAGATTACAAGGGCCTACCAACTGGACATCCCTCCCAATAAAACACCCAAGTAAACCCTGTGACCCGAACAAATCTGGTCAAACTGGCGCTCAACACCCCCACCCTACCTACCGCCCTCCCAGCTCGACTGAAGGTGAAACGGAAGCCTATCGTGCACCTCTGGGTTCTTCCCAAACAGCGGCAAAATAACCTAGAAGCGAGGCGGTCGACTGACAAGAGGTGAAAAGGACAGGAGACAAGAGCCGAGCAAAAGCGGGGCCTCTGCGGGTAGCCAGGATTCAAGAGGCTCGGATAAACCGGACTGGCTCAACAACATCCTAGGGAAGATGGGGAGGGATCGGGCAACCGGAGATCAGGGATCGGAGACGAGAAGAGAGCACTGACCGACAGGGCAAGGATGGAAGACTGTCGAGGGAGGCAGGAAGGCTCTCCAAGGAGGGCCTGGGTAGCGGGGCACCAGAGAGGCACTCAGGAAGGGGATCAGAAGGGAGGTGACATGGGGTTCTTGTGGAATTGGGAGGAAATGAAGCCACAGGACTTCAGAGGGGGTCGGAGTGGGTAGGAGGAGGGAGGGAGGCCGGCTCCGAGCAACCACAGAGGTCCCCGCGGTGGAGACCCCGGCGGTGGCGCCTCAGCGCGCAGGCCGAGCCTGGACGAGCCGCAGCCGCGCGGAACGCGGCTCTCAGAGCCCCTGATCCCACCGTCCACCTCGGCCCGGGGCCGCTCTGGCCTCTCCCGACTCGCACGGACCTGTCCCGGTCGCCTCTCGCGCCGCCGCCGCCGCCGTCCCGAAGGCTCCGCAGAATCCTCCAGCTCCTGCCAAAACTTTTCCCATTAATCCCCCAGCTCCGCCGCGGCCTGCGGCGTCACACGCTCCCAGCCCCGGCCACGCCCCCGTCCCGTGACGTCACCGCGCCACCCGCCCCGCCTCCTTCCGCCAGGCCAGCAGCCAATCACAACGCCGTCTAGAGCCACTCCCTTGATTCCCATCGCTCCGCCCACCGCACCGCTGTCCCCCTGGCGCGTCTGCAGCGCCCTCTGCAGTCAGACATGGGAGCAGCAGCTGAAGAAGGCGCTGGGGAACGGGAGTGGGGAGAAGTTAGGGCTGGTCAAACGAGTCCAGCAAACCTCAAGAAAGGATATTGCGTGCAGTGTCTGCAGAAGCTGGAAGAAGGCATTGGATCCCCTGGAAGTGGAGTTACAGACAATGGAGAACTTCGTGTAGAATCTGGGAAGCGGTCCACTGAAAGAGTAGCAAACGCGATCTCCACTCCTGACGCATCTCTCCAGCACACCCCCCCCCCCATTTTCAAATTGGCAGCTAGTTCGATGTCTCAGTGGGTCATCGTTTGCCTCCAAGCCTGATTCCTTGAGTTCCATCCCTGGGAGCCACAGATCTGAAGAACTGCCTCCTACAGGTTATCCTCTAACCTCTACACACTGGGTGTGCACACTCATTCAGAAAAAAAGTAAGATCTGGAAGGCATGGTGGCACTGTAACTCCAGCACTCAGGAGGTAGAGGAAGGTTCAAGGTCATCTTTAGCTATGGAGAAAGTTCTAGGTCAGCCTGTTCTATGTGAGACCCAAACAAAACAAAACAAATTTTAAAGGAACTTTTCTCCTGCTTGAGATCTCCATCACTGGATGTCATGGAGCTACCTATGCCTGGGCTTGTCTAGAAGAGGAACCTGTCACCCGCAATGTGCCTCATCATATACTATAGAGGGTATGTAGCCAGAAGGCAATCTGGCAGGAACTGGTTTCATCATCCTAGAATGAAAACTTGACTGGCAGGAAAGTCAAGGAGGCTCTTCCCTCCTCCACACGACCATTAAAGGTTACCTCTGCCCTGTCTGGCCTCCTTATAGAACATCCTCAGCTGGATTTGAGATCCCCACACCACTTTGTTTTGCTTTGCTTTGTTTCTCTCTGTGTGTGTGTGTGTGTGTGTGTGTGTGTGTGTATCCCCACGTGTGCACATGTGCACTTGGAGAACAGAGAAGGGTATTGTGTGTCCTCCAAGGACATATTTCCATGTTGTTCCCTTGAGGCAGGGTCTGGTTTTGTGGGATAGGTTGTTAGCCATCAAGCCTGGGCTATCCTGGTTCTGCAGTTACAGGAGTGCACAGGACCATGCCCTGCTTTTCCATGTATGCTGGGATCTGAACTCTGGTTGCCCCACTGGTACAGCAGAGGCTTTTAACTCCCTCCCAAGCTGTCTCTCTAGCTCCCTTCTATTTTGAAATGAATTTATATTAACTTTTTAGATATCACCGCCAGGTGGTGGTGGCACACACCTTTAATCCCAGCACTTGGGAGGCAGAGGCAGGCGGATTTCTGAGTTCGAGGCTAGCCTGGTCTACAGAGTGAGTTCCAGGATAGCCAGGAATATACAGAGAAACCTTGTCTCGAAAAACCAAAAAAAAAAAAAAAAAAAAGATATCACCATCTTGTCCTCTGAAACTGCAGTAAAAATGGCCTGGGGATATCAAAGATTTCTACCAATTTTTGTTTGTTTGTTTGTTTGTTTGTTTAAGCTCTGGTGTAAGAAGGATCTCAGGCTGGTCTTGAGCTCCTGACCTTCCTGTCTGTATTTCCCACATTTGGGAATCTTCTATACCCAAGTTTATGTGGTTCCAAGTATGGGACAAGGGCTTCATCCATGCTAAGCAAGCACTCTACCGACTGTGCTACAACCGAGCTTTCTTCTATATTCTTAATGTTAGTTTTGAGAATTTCACACTTGCCTATTATGTGTTTTGAATATCTTCATGCTCACTCCTTCCCCTAGCTCCTTCCCAGGTCCTAACCCACACCCACCACCCCGTCTTCTGGTTCTTGTTGTCCTTATTACACTGTATTTCTTTACTTTATATGCATTGGTGTTTTGCCTGCATGTATGTCTGTGTGGGGGCGCCGGATCCCCTGGAACTGGAGTTAAAGACAGGTGTGAGCCACCATGTGGTTGCTGGGGATTGAAGCTGGGTCCTCTGGAAGAGCAGCTGATGCTCTTAATCAGTATGTCATCTCTCTACGTTGTACTTGTTGTGTGCACATGTGTGCATCTGTGTGTGCGTGAGCGAGCATGTGGCAGTCAGGAGGCACAACTTGTACGAGTCAGTCTTCCTACCATGTGGGTCCTGGGGCTTGAAATCAGATCGCCAGGCTTGGCAGCAAACGTCTTTACACCCTGAGCCATCTCATCTCCCCCCTTTTTTGGTTCTTAACCACTTTACCTGGCCTCTTTTGGGTTCTTGAGAACCCTGTTTATGGGCTGGTAAAGATGGCTTAGTGGGTAAAGGTGCCTGTTGCCACATCCAACGACCTGCTCACTCCTCAGGACCCACATGGTAGAAGTAAAGAAATGATTCCCACAACTTGTCCTCTGACCTCCCCGTGTGTACCATGGTAAACTTGTTCACCGCTGTAAATATTTACATAAGTAATTCCATCAGGCTGTTTCTAATACTTAGATCACAAACCTGACTGAAATAGTATCCCCAAATCTTCCCATTGACTATATTTGCCCTTTGGGACAGTTGAGTGGGGAAAAAAAAGGCAAAACAAAACAAAACAGGATCCTGCCAAGTTTTTATAGTCCTTTGAAGCCAGCCAGGAATCTCAGCTATCCAAACCTACTCACTGCTGTGTCAGCCTCTGGCCTGCAGGGGGCGACAGGTCACTCTCCCAGGTCTCCCTCCCCCTTCTCTGCAAACAGGGTCGAAAGTAACAATCCAAAACAACCACTTTCCAGGTCTGAGTGACCCCTGACAACAGTGTATAACACACCTGTGGCACTGCAGCCCGGTGTTCCCACCCATCCTTATACCTGGGACCACAATGACTGTGACATCTGAAACGGGACACACTCCCTGAAGATGATGGGCAGAATCGAAGTTGTTAAGGATAGACTTTCGAGGCCGGGCAGTGAGTGGTGTCGCACGCCTTTAATCCCAGCACTTGGGAGGCAGAGGCAGGCGGATTTCTGAGTTCGAGGCCAGCCTGGTCTACAGAGTGAGCTCCAGGACAGCCAGGGCTACACAGAGAAACCCTGTCTCAGAAAACTAAAAAAAAAAAATAGACTTTCTCTGCCTTCCAAAACGTCCCTCAAGATGTCACCTTCCCGTGATACTCAAAATTAGATCACGACACAGAACACTGAAGAACTCAGAAGAGACTCCACTTACCACTGAGGAAACAGAGGCACCGGGGATAGATGGTGATCTGGCATCTACATTCTTTGCAGGGCTAGGGAAGGCCCCAGGTTTGATCAAAGAATGACAAGCCACATATAATGTGGGTGTGTATACACCCACATCCCAGCACTTGGGAGGTAGGAGCAGGAGGAGCAGTTCAGGGTCGGCCTCAGCTATACAGTGAGTTCCAGGTCATTTGGGGCTATATGAGACCGTGGCTCAACGAACAAAACCCCAGACTGTTGTGGTGTGGTGTTGTTTGTTTAAACACAAAACAAAAATCTCAATTGTTCAATTTTACCAATGAAGACTCAGGAGCCAGATGCTGGGGTGAAAACCTACTGGCTCAGAGAGGGAGAAACACCCAGCTGACCTTATTATTCCACAGATGCCCTAGAAGGAAAAGCTCTCTTTCTCCGTGCTGTCTTAAATTCCCTTCAACTCAAAGTCTCTCTCTTTCCTGGGTTTTCTTATGTTCACTCCTGGTCAACTGGCTGCTTGCTCTGCCTCTTGACCAATTGTTGACTTTATTTAGCTCTTGTTTACAGGAAGCTCTCGAGTTAAAGGTGTGTGCTAGGGCTGAGCCACACCACAACAAGAAACAAGTTTTTCTAACTCACAATCCCTGGTTTCACAATGTGATCAAATATCCTGAAATGCCAAATAGCAAACTTTATCTTACATACAATTAAAGATTTAGCCAATCGAGATTGTACATGCCTGTGATCCCAGCTCTGGTAAGGCTGAGGCAGATCTTGAGATTTCAAGTTCCTAACCAGTCTGGGCTATGATGAAACATCATGACCAAAAAGCGAGTTAGCAGGGAAAGGGTTTTATTTGGCTTACACTTCCATATTGCTGTTCATCATGGAAAGTATTCAAGACAGGAATTCAAGCATGGCAGGATGCTGGAGGCAGGAGCTGATGCAGAGACCGTAGAGGGATGCTGCTTACTGGCTTGATCTCCCTAGCTTGCTCAGCCTGATTTCCTATAGAACTCAAGGCCACCAGCCCAGGGGATGGCACCACCCACAATGGACTGGGCCCTCCCCCATTGATCACTCATTGAGAAAATGCCTTACAGCTGGTTCTCATGGAGGCATTTCCTCAAGGGAGGCTCCTTCTTTAATGACTCTAGCTTGTTCAATGACACAAGACACGCCAGTACATCAACCAGTCAACTCTTTAGTTTTCGGGAATCTCTGTGATCAGGTCTTCTGTTACCTTTTTTCTTCTCCCCTCTTCCTCCTCTCTCTTTGGTTTGTTTTCCAGTATGTGTGGATGAGTGGGTGGACCTACTATGTTCCTGGCCATCCTGGAACTCAGCAGCTGACCTGGGCTGCCCTTGAACTCATAGAGATCTGCATTTGACTTTTATCGTAATCGCCTTTCTTCCCTTTTCTGTTTTTGCTTTGTTGTTGTGTTGTCGTTTTGAGACAGGGCTTCACATATTCCGGGATAGCCTCATATATCCTCTGTACCCAAGGATGACCTTGAATTTCCCATCCTCCTGCCTCACTGGTTTATTTATCATTCCTGCGTGCACACGTGAGCGTACGTGTGCGTGCAGGAGAGCACATCTATACTGAAGAGCACGAGGTCAGAGGACAGCGACGGCTCCCAGGGACTTTGAACTCCTGATTCTCGACTCCTGGGGATAGAC